GGGTGAGCCCGGTCCCCGCTGCCCTGCGAGCCCCTCACACCTGGCGGGGCACACACCGCCCCTTCCTAGGAAAGGACGCGCCTCTGTTTGCGGGTGGGAAATGACACTCCGTGACGGTGCCCCTGGGGTCTCTCTTTCAGGTGGTACGGCAGCGGGAATGACGGTGAACACACCGCTGTGCTTCAGGGGAAAGAAGATCCTGGCTCCAATGGTGCGAGTGGGGACGCTGCCCATGCGGCTGCTTGCTCTGGACTATGGTGCGGATATCGTGTACTGTGAGGTATGGAGAAGGAGCTGATGAGGCGGTTTTATCTAATAATATTGTTATTAAGGAAAATATAAATGGACTTTTTTCATTGTATGACTTGTTCTTTTACACATAGTTTTCCATTAAAAATGAGGAAAGAAGAATCTCTGTCTTGAGGCATTTCTCTGAGCCATTCTCAACTTATGGCAAATCCATATTTAAAGACTGTTCAGTAACTTCAAGTAATTTAGACAAAACACCATCACAATTTCCTCAAGTTGTACTTTTATTTGCCTTTTGGGGGGGTAGAGGGTTTTTTGTATTTTTTTTTCAGCAGAGTCAGAACTTTGAAGGAACTTTGAAGGCTGACTTCATGTCTCACCTGGTTAGTTCTGCTGTGCCTCCATGTATTTCACTCTTAGTATTGTTCTCGTTATTTCTTGAACGCTTTTTTTTAAGCTGCCTGAAATTGAGGTGTGGGGTGCTCAGCACAAGAACTGTTAGAGTGGATCCAGAGGATGCCACAGTGCTGATCAGAGTGCTGGAGCACCTCTCCTACAAACACAGGCTGAGAGAGTTGGGATTGTTCTCTCTGGAGAAGAGAAGGCTCTGAGGAGACCTCGTTGAGCTCTTCCAGTACTTAAAGGGAGCTTTTAAAAAGGAGGGAGAGGAACATTTTACAAGGACAGATAGTGATAGGATTGGGTAATAGTTTTAAACTAGAGAGCGGAGAGCTTTAGATTAGATATTGGTAAGAAGTTCTTTAACCAGAGGGTGCTTAGGTACTGGGACAGGTTGCTCAGAGAATTGGTCTCTCTAGATAATTACTTAATAAAATGGGCAATTGTTTAGAGCTGACAGGCTGAAACAATTCAACTCACTGAGATTTTTTTATCCTTTCTACTCAGGAGTTGATTGACATAAAGATGCTGCAGTGTAAGAGGGTTATAAATGGTAAGTGTAATACCTGCAAGAAGTCTCTTTTCTAGTTAAAGGGTAATTATTTCTCTGAAGCATTTTCCTAGTGATTATAGTGATGTATCAGTACTTACCATCTCCCTGAATTGTGTCTAGGGGCTTACAGTAAGGTTTTGAAGTGCTGCCTTAGACCTGTCTGCTGCTCTATATTTTCAAACTTCCAGTTTGCTTGGACTGCAGTAGAGACAGTTTCCAATTATGTGTCTTTTTAACTGTTAGCTGTTTGTGACATGATAATATACACACCTTTTAGTTTACTCCAACAAGGAAGCAACACATACAAGAACTCACTGTTTATCATTCATTTATTAACTTGAAGTCCTTGGGCTGGACTTGCAATAACATGATTGTCACTG